CAGCTTTTGGCCTGCCCACATCACTGCCCACAAGGGAAGGACGTGTGTGATCACTGTTTGGAAACAAAGTTTGGTCAGAGGAACAAAGTGGTTGAATCTTAGTACTTCTGGGTGGGACTTGGCAGCCTTTTGTACCTTTCTTATTTCGCAAGTAATTGCTAGAGTCAGAAGCTTCCTATTGCTTTCTTAAATCTTTTCTGTAGGATCAGATGTCTTTTTTATCTTGACTCACTGATTGGTAAAATCACATTAAGAGCACTATCGAATTGTTTCTAACACATTTAGATGAAAGGCCTGAGAAGTGATTCACACAAGGTTTTTTTCACATTTGCATTTCAAATTCCAGTATTAAAAATGATATTTGAAATCTTAAAATGCTTTTGCACGTTATAAAATCTTTGCCTTCTTTGGATTTTAATATAAAATATTTAGATGTAAAGGAAAAGTACAATTGGAAATGGTAAAGATAAGACTGAATAAGTAGGCATCATGCTTAAAGGCTTTAAAATACAGGCATTTGAAGGATTTTAGAAATGGATGAAACAAGTTCCAAAATCAGTGGAGGGTCCAACAGTTATGCATTCATAGAGTAGTGGCTGTCAACGTATATTTAAACTAACTTGCTGTCCTTTTAGGCAGTGTTTGAGGTGTGTACACAATACTTGCTTCGTATCCCAATGAGTATCATCTTTGCCTCTTTCTTTCCATTTGCCTGTCTTTTCTCTCTCCCACTCCTTTGCTCCCTCTCCTCTTTCCCTCCCTTCTCTTTTCTTTCTGTATTTAATTTCTTCCTTTCTCTTTCCTTTTTTATTCCTTGCTTTCCTCTTCCTGCCTCTTCTCTTCTCTCTCTCTTCCCTCCTGTGGATAAGAGTCTTTCTGTCTCATGTATGTCCTTTGTTCCCCTATTTCTCAGTGTAACTGAGACGAGTATGGTTGCTATTGTTACGTGCTGTCAAGTCGGACCTGACTCATAGTGATCCCTCCTTGGGTTTCTGAGGCAGTATCTCTACAGAAGTAGATTGCCCAACCTTCCTACTGAGGAGTGGCTGGTGGGTTTGAACCGCCAGCCTTCTGGTCAGCAGTCAAGTTCCTTAGGCACTGCGCTACCAGAGCTCCTGGTATGGTTTGGAAAACATAATAGTGAAACTTGATTTTTACTTAGACTTGTGTAAGGATTCACTGTTTTTGTTAACATGACAAAATGGAGAGTAAGTTTTGCTTGCCTTTTGCAGGGCCTGAGAGAGACTAAGCATCCGTACACCTTTGTGTCGAAGGAGGGTTTCAGAGAGCTGCTTTTGGTCAAAGGTGCTTCTGACAAGGCTGTGCCCTTGCTCCCCAGACTGACTCCTGTGCTGAAGGCGGCTCTGGTACGTCCTGTGTGGCTTTGCCTTTTCTGTTTCAACAGTGCGTGAGAGAAGAGAAAGAAAGGTGCCTTTAGAGTCTGTCCTTTGTTTGTCTCTAAGTGTGATGTGAATTAGTCCTCTGCCTGTCGTTTTGCTCTGTGCTATGCTTGCAGAATAGGCCACTGTTACTCAGGCCAAGATGATTATGTACTTGATCACACTTCAGAGATTGTTAAAAGTGAAAGAGGACATTTTGAGTGATTAGAGAAAGTAAGGAGCCTCCAGTCTGTCTGTCTGTCTGCTGTGGAATAGCTTTGTTAATGCTTCAGTCAGGCTGAAAATTTGTTTCTGTGTCCTTGTTTTTTAATCTTCAATTAATGATTACTTTTTAAACTTGGAGTCTGATTGGTTATCTTCTAATTTTAAGTGATCACTATTAATTTTTCCTCTAGTTACTACTCTTTCTGCTAACATTCCTAACCTTTTCTCTTTCCAATCTTCCTACCCCCACTCCTCAACCAACCTCACAGGTCCACGCGGATGATGACGTGTTTGAAAGGGGACTGAATGCTTTGATGCAGTTAAGTGCAGTGGTTGGTCCTTCTCTAAATGACCATCTGAAACATCTGCTTACAAGCGTAAGTACTGAAAAGGGTAGGGAGTGCTTGTGTACATTTATTATGCACTGTTCTTACCTCCTTATGATGATGGCTTCACATTAATCATTAAAATAATTAAAAACCTTAAAATATTTATATCATCCATGGTATAGTGCCTAAGGCATTTGACTGCTAACCAGAAGGTTGGCGGTTCAAACCCACCAGCTGCTCTGTGGAAGGAAGGTTGGGCAATCTATTTCCGTAGAGATACCACCTCGGAAACCCAAGGAGGGGTCACTGTGAGTCAGAATCGACTCGATGGCAGTGAGTTTGGTTTTGTTTTTTTTCCCCAGAAAATATAACATCAGACCTAGTGGTTTAGAAAACATGTTACTAATGGACAACATTTTCTAGGTTTTGTTTTCTGTTTGTTTTTGTTTTTGGAAATGGAAGCACCTACATGAGCAGAGCTGAAGGTTGTCATAAAAAGTTAGGGCAAGTTGAATGGATAATGCTTTATAGGCAGTGTAATGGCTTTAGGCCCATGATGATTAGCTGTGAATTATGAGAAGTGGTGGTGCACCCACTTGTGTGATGTGTACTTCTAAAGTCATGTTTTCACTATTTTCCTTTTTCTTTGTGAGATTTGTGGAGAGTCTGAACAGCATTCATGATGAACCTTTTCCTGTTACATGGAGTTTAGTCCTTCTCACAGTATACACTGGACACTGCAGTTTGAGAGGCCCTCAGGTGTCCCTTTCAGGCTGAATGATTTGCTGGCAGGGCTCGGGGAACCCAGGAAAGCTGCTGTATCTGAGTTATGGTTTATCGTAGTGACAGGATCCAGATCACGTCAGCAAGGGGGAGAGGAGAGTAGGCCTGGACCAGGGCAGAGCAGGTGAGGAGCCTCTGCTTATCCTCTTCCAGCTTTGGGGTGCAAACAGCATTCACTTCTTCCAGCAGCAATACGGGGCAGCCATGCATGGAGTATTGCCCACCAGGGAAGCCCATCCAAGCCTTGGTGTCTGGGGATTTCATTAGGATTCACCTAGGCATGGCTGACCAGCTGAGTGGCTGACTACAGTGTCCAGCCCCTTTGGAAGTAAAGCTGATAGTGCATAGGGCACGACCCCTACAATGAATCACATAATTAGTATAGACTATAGACTTCTACCTTGGCCTAAGTCCCCCTGGTAAACAGAGACACTCTTGTGAGTCAGAAGGTTTTAAGGGCTTAGAGGTTACTTCCTAGGAGCCAGGTTGAGGCCAGTCGTTTCTTTATCAAGATTAATCCTTTGCTGCATGTAGTGATTCAAAGACAGAAATCCTGGCTGGGGTTGGCAGTTTGAACCCATCAGTGGTCCTGTGGAAGAAAGATGAGGCAGTCTGTTTCCATAAAGATTTACAGCCTTTGAAACCCTGTGGAGCAGTTCTCCCCTGTCCTGTAAGGTCACTGTGAGTCAGCATTGACTCGATGGCAATGGGTTTGGTTTGGGTTTAGGATTTCCCTGCCTGCATTCTTCTGTAGCTCAGAGCTGAGATACATTTTGATCACAGCCCCAATGTTCTCTCTTTGGCCTGTCCGCCCAAGAGCTCCCAGAGGTATATATTTATGTTCTTTCTCCAGAGAGGCTCTGATACACGCCAGAAACCACCTAGTCAAGCACGTAGAGAGATCGCGTGATGGCGAATCTGTATGATTGCTGTGCTGAGGTTAGGGGTGGTTGGAGATGAAAGCTCACCAAGCTTCAGGGTGGTGTGAGGATACACTCCAGGACCCAGACGTGTGGGAAGTCTCAGGACAGGAGGAAGGGAATCCTGGTGGATGTTTGCCCGTAAGCTCAGGGGGGTTGTAACTGGAGGCAGCCTCATGTGTTTCAGCGCTCTGTGGAAATCCATTTCTTACAGCTCGGACTCCGAAGAACTCGCACAGTAGTATGGAAGACGACTCATGTTCTTCCTTCATTCAGATGTTCGGGAGTTTAACAGGCATCTGTTGCACTGTCCACACCTGTGTGCTCGGTATTGTTCTAAGCACAGGATGAAATGCTGAGCTGAAACAGGCGTCCCAGCTTTCGTGAAGATTGATATTTTGGGGTGGGGTTGGGGCAGGGCGTAAGTAGCAAGGGAGGACCCCGGGTGGCACAGTGGCTAAGCGTTTTGTTGCTAATCGAGACGTTGGTGATTCAGACCCATTAGCTGCTCTGGCTCTGTGAGAGAAAGATGAGGCAGTGTGCTTCTGTCAAGATTTAAAGCCTCAGAAGCCCTGTGGAGCGGTTCTGCTCTGTCCTGTGGGTGGCTCTAAGTTGGACTCGGCTGGACAGCTGTGAGTTTTGTAAGCAGCAGGGATGTCTGCTGAGAGGAGTGGGACAGGAGATGTGAGGGAGAAGTGGTATGTAGAGAGAAGGAGTCACACTGGATTGTTTCCCAGACTCAAGTCCAGCAAAGACCTTTGCTTCCGAAACCGCCTCCATCCCCACCCCCCTCCCGTCTCTGCAGAGAGAAAAGGACAGGATAACCACTGAGCTACAGAGACTTGTTTTGAGCCCTTATGGGTCAGTAACATTGATCTGTGAACCCTCACATTTCTCCCCAGAGCTCTGCTTTTCCTATGACAAGAACTATTGAGAGGGCCGCTGACCTTGCTAGGGTGTCTACACTTTGGGAAGACCTAGACCACACAGTGGCCTTCAGATTAGCCTAGTGTTATCTGGAGGGGAGAGGCCTGCAAATAGGTGGAGCTGGCTTAGCTCCCCACCGCAGGGCTCCAGTGCCCCTCCTTACTCCCCTTTCCCACCAGAAAGGCTTCGTTTTCCCATTACCAGCTCCTGCCCTAGATGTTTATTTGAAGAAGTGTTCCTCATTTAGAAAATGAATTTCAAAACCAGTTACTGGGCCTGTATACGATTCCTTTTCTAAATGTGTGCTTCAAAGATAAGGGGCTGTCCACTGACCCTAGGGCAGTGACCCTCAAACTTTAATGAGGGCACGAATCACTGGGAAGCTTTGCTAGGAATGTCAAGCCTGGGCCTGTGCTCGGAGATGCTTGTTAAGGAAGTATGGGGGCGGGGCCCAGAAACCTGCATTTTTCAACAGGTGTCTTAGGTGGTTCTGAAGCTAGTGGTTCATGGATCCCTATAAAGCCTGGCTTCCAGGAAACATGCTCTGAAGAAAGGAGACCTAAGGACTGGGAGATAGGTCGTCTTGTCCCTTGCTCAGGCAGGGGTCAGCATTGCTGGTCCTCTCAGAATTGCTTTCCTCACATTTTTCGTCCCTCTCGGAGTCTCTTCTGACCCTCCCTTACCTTAGAAGATCCGAAGGGACTTGCTGTTCAAGGCTCAATGGTGTGAAGTCCTCCTGCTGGGTCACTTTCATGCCTAGGAAGAAAATAACTTTCTATGACAGTGGCCTGTGAAGAGTTTGATGAGTGACTGATTGTTGCCCAGCCTTCACTATGTCTTAGTTTCCTCGGGCTGCCATAAGAAAATACCACAAAGTAGGTGGCTTGAAGAAGAGTGAGTTTTGTTTCACAGTTGGCCATGCTGTGCTTTTAGTCCAAATTCAGGGTGTCAGCTGGTGTGTGTTCTCGGCCTCCAGAGGCTCTCAGGGAGCATGCTTGCTTGTCTCTTTCAGCGTCTGTAGCCCCAGCTGTTTCTTGGCATTCTTTGGCTTGTAGCTAAACCCTCACAAGCTACTTCCCTCTGGTGTAGACTGACTTTCCATGTCTGTCTTCTCTTTAGTAGGGGACGATTAGAATTAGGACCCACTGTGCTCTAGTATGACTTCATTACTGATAACGTCTGTAAAGGAAAACCCTGCTTCCCCAAACAAGGTGATATTCACGAGTGCAAGGGTTCAGACTGCAGCACAGATGTTTTTAGGGGCACGATCCAGTCCTCAACAAATTATCTTCCTGGAAAGTGGAAGTGAGCAAGTGATGCTGCCTTGTGGGATGTCAATGGCCGGGTACAGCAATGCAGACGTTTGGTGGGAAGCCTGTTACAGGTGGCGCTTGACTGCGTGCTGTTGGCTGCTGTGATTCAGTCCTCACCACCTTTTGCTCCCTCCCTTTTCAGTCAAGTCACTTCTTCCGTGAGGCCCATTCAGGACATACCTGGGGAGAGGTGTCTGGTCGCTAATCAATCAGTCTCCTTCCCTGCTGCTGCTTATGCATGCCAGTGCTGTGTCCCTTGTCCTCTCTTCCCTCTTTATTACAGGAAAATGTGTTTCTGAGTCCTCACTTTCTAGCATCATCTTCCAGTGTGATTGCAAATTACAAAGTAGAAATA